ATAGGGGCTAGACTACAGAAAGGGCAGAACGGCCATGGCAATCTGAGGCGCCGTTCTCCGGACACCGCGGGTCTGTAACTTATGCTGTAACCTTGTGATTTTAATAAAAGCCTCTAAATCATTGTGCAGCATAAACGGACTCTTTGTTGACAGCAATAATTGCCACCATTCACCCGATACGACACCACCTCAAAAGAGGTACGTGGAAGAACCGTATATTAGTGGTGCGCGGTCAGCTGTTTGTTCACCCGGCACCCGCCTGCAATTGCTAATAACCGATCTGAAACCTCCCAACTATATTTTGGGGAGGCTATATGTTAGTCAACTTGTCTATAAATAGATACATGTAGCTTCTCTTGTCATTATATGTTGCCCCAGAAGACTAAATAAACCCTTGCTCAACAGAATAATGTAATAGATCGATAGAATGAAGGATTAAATCTAGTTTTCTCTGTCATCTTTCGCGGAGCAAAGACATTTAGAGACTGGGGAGAAAATACAATAACGCAAAAAAACCGGAACGATTTTCTTTGCAAAATGTCCAAATGACATCAGTTTGACCAGTAGTAAGGAAAAAGAAAGCTGTGAAAACAACCCAACTGATAAGATTTCAGTTCGGCTTCGATGCATACCGGTATTTTATGTGGTTGAAATACTATCAGCTTTTATGATGCTTTTATGATGAAGACAACACCTCTACATATGGTATCTAACTGAGCATTGCATTCTCTCAAGATACAGAAAGAAAAATCATATTTCTCCACTCCTGTTCACAAGTCCAAATGTTGCGTTTGAGAAACATGGATGAACGTCTAATTCTGATGTGAGACAGAGCTGGTAGGCAATAATACAAAAACATGTCCTCATGTTTTGTAAGATAGACAAGCATATTCATACAGTTGAAATCAGAAGTTTACATACACCTTAGCCAAATACATTTAAACTGAGATGATAAATGAGTCTCAGCTAAACCGTGCCTGTTGACATGTTGAGTGTTGACGTTTGTCTGACTCTTGCCGTTTGATAATTCCAGTGAAACCGTGTCAGATTCCAGATGTCGTTACCATATGGACATACACAGGAACATGATCCAAAACATATATTCTTTGTTCTCTCTATCATTTCAGCAAGCTAGCTAGCTATATAGCCTATCAATGTATTATCTAAATTGCGCAGCTACACTGAACAAAAATATAAACACAACCATTTCTAAGATTTTACTAAGTTACAGTTCATATAAGGAAATCAGTCAATTGAAATAACTCATTAGGCCCTAATACAGATATGCATCTGTTGGTCACATATACGTTTTTTTAAAAGGTAGTGATGTGGATCCGAAAACCAGTCAGTATCTAGTGTGACCAACATTTGCCTCATGCAGCGCAACACATCTCCTTTGCATAGAGTTGATCAGCTTGTTGATTGTGGCCTGTGGAATGTTGTCCAAATCTGTGCAAAGTTGCTGGATATTGGCAGGAACTGGAACACGCTGTCATACACGTCGATCCAGAGCATCCCAAACATGCTCAATGGGTGACATGTCTGGTGAGTATGCAGGCCATGGAAGAACTGGGACATTTTCAGCTTCCAGGAATTGTGTACAGAGATTCTTGTGACATGCAGCCGTACATTATCATGCTGAAACATGAGGCGATGGCGGCGGATGAATGGCACGACAATGGGCCTCAGGATCTCGTCACGGTTTCTCTGTGCATTCAAATTGCCATCGATAAAATGCATTTGTGTTTGTTGTCCGTAGCTTATGCTTGCCCATACCATAACCCCACCGCCACCATGGGGCACTCTGTTCCCACTGTTGACATCAGCAAACCGCTCGCCCACACAACGCCTGCCATTTGCCCGGTACAGTTGAAATCGGGATTCATCCGTGAAGAGGACACTTCTCCAGTGTGCCAATGGCCATCAAAGGTGAGCATTTGCCCACTGAAGTTGGTTACGACGCCAAACTGTAGTCAGGTCAAGACCCTGGTGAGGACGACGAGCACGCAGATGAGCTTCCCTGAGACGGTGTCTGACAGTTTGTGCAGAAATTCTTTGGTTGTGCAAACCCACAGTTTCATCAGCTTTCTGGGTGGCTGGTCTCAGACCATCCCGCAGCTGAAGAAGTCAGATGTGGAGGTCCTGGGCTGGCGCGTTAGGCTTGGTCTGCGGTTGTGAGGCCGGTTGGATGTACTGCCAAATTCTTTAAAACGACTTTGGAGGCAGTTTATGGTAGAGAAATTAACATTAAATTCTCTGGCAACAGCTCTGCTGGACATTCCTGCAGTCAGCATACCAATTGCATGCTCCCTCAACTTGAGACATCTGTGGCATTGTGTTGTGTGACAAAACTGCACATTTAGAGTTGCCTTTTATTGTCCCCAGCACAAGGTGCACCTGTGTAATGATCATGCTGTTTAATCAGCTTCTTGATATGCCACACCTGTCTGGTGGATGGATTATCTTGACAAAGGATAAAACGCTCACTAACAGGGATGTAAACAAATTTGTGCACAAAATATGAGAGAAATAAGCTTTTTGTGCGTATGGAAAAGTTCTGGGATCTTTTATTTCAACTCATGAAACATGGGACCAGCCCCTTACATGTTGCGTTTATATTTTTGTTGAGTGTATATACTCATATTTAATAATTTATGATGTCCATCCAGTTGCATTTATCACACATTTACAGGAGTCTATTCTACTACAAACACATTAATACAATTAATCAATTTGTATGTACATGTACATTAATCAACACTCACATTCTTAAACAAAATCTGTCCATTGTCTAAATCACGTGCCTACACATAATTACCTATTACCTGACCTTTGACCTTTAGTTCGTAAATCAACACTCATATTGTTGAGTGAACAAAATCCGCCTCTATGAACTACTCATGTTCATATGATATCTGAGTGAGAGTGACTAACAAAATCAATTGGGGTCCGCTAGAGGTCAGGGCCCATGGGCACGTGCCTTGCGTGCCCAGTCAGTAATTCGGCCATGATTACTACAAGGTTTAGATAGCTGGCTAGACTAACTTACCTAGCAATCTATAAAATGTTAGCTGACATGGGGTAATTGAGTGACTATCAGTGACTGACATAACAAGAGGAAAACTGCTGATGCACTACCAAATTTCGAAATTGCACATTGTGTATTCTACTATCCTCTCTAACAGTAAGTTGAGACCCCGACTAACTTCCTAAAAAAGGTTGAGTGGCCACTTATGTCACTTAGAAATGGCACTGTAAAGGGGGGTAGGGTGCAATCAATCAATCAATCAATCAATCAAATACATGTATTTATAAAGCCCTTTTTTACATCAGCAGATGTCACAAAGTGCTATACAGAAACCCAGCCTAAAACCCCAAACAGCAAGCAATGCAGATGTAGAAGCACGGTGTCTAGGAAAAACGACCTAGAAAGGCAGGAACCTAGGAAGAAACCTAAAGAGGAACCAGGCTCTGAGGGGTGGCCAGTCCTCTTCTGGCTGTGCCAGATGGAGATTATAAGAGTACATGGCCATTTAAGGCCACATTGTTGTTCAAGATGTTCAAACATTCATCGATGACCAGCAGGGTCAAATAATAATCAGTGGTTGTAGAGCGTGCAACAGGTCACCTCAGCTTTTCATAGCCGAGCATTCAGAGGATTCGGAGGAGACACAGCAGTTGGGTACATGTGTTTGGAGCGCCGTTCCTGTTTTCTTGCTGGGTGAGAGACTGCTGTGTCTCCTCCGTTTCTCCCGCTCTCACTCCCTCTCGGTCTCGCTGCGGTCCCTGGAGCGGCGCTTCTCCCGGGAGGGCGAGCGGGAATGATGCCTCCTGCGCTTTCCAGCGCGAGACCTGAAGGAAGATCACATAGAGGAGGAAAGATCGCGTCCTACAACAGAAAACAACAGTACATTCTAAATATTTCGTCCAGTACACTACATCTACATGTTTACTTCAAATGTGAGGTACCCTGTGAACATCCAAGTCCAGCCAAACTGCGCTCCAACATTTTCTTGTGAAATGTAGTCCTGAGTAGCTTGTACTGTGGCAGCACACAATAAACTAATTGTAACTGGCAACACATGCATTGACAATCATTAACTGTTTCTACAACATTAATACTATAACATTGCCAATGGCTTTGCAAAGTACATGACTGGCTAATCCCTATCCAATCCCACCTCTATTTCATCCTCTCTTCCTTCTCTCTCCTCCCTCTTTAGGCGATCATGATGTTCTGCTGTTCTGCAGGACGGTTATCTAAATTTCTATAAATACTCTTTAAAACTATTTCCAAAAACTTGTTTCCATTGTATTTCCAAATACATTCCAATATTCATTTACTCGATATATATTTGAACGCAATTGAAATACAATATATTGTAGTGGTTGAACATTGGTGTGTATTAATTACGCCAATTCAGTTGCAAAACGTTTTGCAGTTTACTCCAAACGGAAAACGTTTAGCAATAAAAACGAGAGTTTCTATTGGACAAATTCAGGTAGGTCCCTCCCCGTTTCGTTCCATTTGCTCTGTTTGCTTCCGTTTGGTTCTTAAACGGTATTGGTTTCCGTTGCAAGACGGAATGAATACACCCCAGATCCCGGCTCCGCCCGTTGCTATGCGGGCAGCGCCCATGGTTACTGTTGTGGCTCATAGTTTTGTACCCACAATGCACGAATTTGAGACACAAAGATGGCTTCTGGAGGTGTCTATCTAGCTAGCCAGCTAACTTCACTTATAAAGATGATTATTTTTTATATAAATATGTGAACATTTTAAGATGTTGTATTAGTGATGTTGCCACTTTGTTCAAATATACAAAGAAACAGCAAATCATTGGTCTTTCAAGACTTTGCTCGCCAGTAAAGTAACGATTTGTGTAAGAAGCTAGCTAGCTAGCTAAACTTAGCTGTTAGCTAGCTAGCTAACGTTGAGTAATTCGTCATATACGCAATGCAGTAATGTAACAGGTCTTTGAATATATAATACAATGGATATGGAGAAGGAGCAGCGCAATAGTGTGGTTTTTAACGCATCCAAGAGAGAACTGTTCACTGCCAACAATGGTTACAAGTTCCTGCAGAAGAGACTCAGGGCGCAATGGAAGATCCAGAGGTAGGTAATAATAATAATAATAATAATAATAACTGTTAGCTAGCTAGCTGGCTATTGCTTGCTGTATCTACGTAAGAAGAATACGTTGTAGTCACCTATTTGGCATCATAATAAGGCAACTTCATATATGTGGTTTTATGTTTGTTCCTCCACAGCATAAAAGAGGAGCTCTCCTTGGAGAGGTTGAATGATGTAAAGTTGTGGATTACTGCTGGTTCCAGAGAAAAGTTCACTGCTGCTGAGGTGTGTGGCTGGTCATGGTAGAGTTGTAGGAGGTCAAAGGACATGCCTTTATGAATCGAGGTTTGGGTAGAGTGATCAGGAGATGGAAACAACAGATTTGAAAGTTTCCTATTTGATGTGTGTCCCAGCATTGCAACACACTCCTCCAAAATAAAATGTCTGTCAACCTAAACACTGTTAGGTATCAAAATCTAATCTAATCAATACAATTGTATTTGTCACACGCTTCATAAACAACAGGTGTAGACTAACAGTGAAATGCTTACTTACGGGCCGTTCCCAACAATGCAGGGAAAACATTATTTTAATAATAAAAAGAAAACACAAGGAACAAGTACACATTACATTTACGTCATTTAGCAGACGCTCTTATCCAGAGCAACTTACAGTTAGTGAGTGCATACATTTTTCATACTGGCCCCCCGTGGGAATCGAACCCACAACCCTGGCGTTGCAAGCGCCATGCTCTACCAACTGAGCTACAGGAGGCCCAATGAGTAACGATAACTTGGCTATATACACGGGGTACCAGTACTGAGTCGATGTGCAGGTGTATGAGGTATTTGAGGTAGATATGTACATATAGGTAGGGGTAAATTGACTAGGCAACAGGATAGATAATAAGCAGTAGCAGCAGCGTATGTGATGAGTCAAAAGAATGAGTGCAAAGGGGGGACAATGCAGATAGTCCGGGAAGCTATTTGGTTAACTATTTAGCATCTTATGGCTTGGGGGAAGAAGCTGTTCAGGGTCCTTTTGGTTCCAGACTTGGTGCATCGGTACCACTTGCTGTGCTGTAGCAGAGAGAACAGTCTATGACAATTTTTAGGGCCTTCCTCTGACACTGCCTGGTATAGAGGTCCTGGATGGCAGGGAGCTCGGCCCCAGTGACATACTGGGCCGTACGTACTACCCTCTGTAGCGCCTTGCGGTCGGATGCCAAGCAGTTGCCATACCAAGCGGTGATGCAGCCAGTCAAGATGCTCTCAATGGTGCAGCTGTATAACTAATTGAGGATCTGAGGGCCCATGCCAAATCTTTTCATTCTCCTGAGGGGGAAGAGGCGTTGTCGTGCCTTCTTCACGACTGTATTGGTGTGTGTGGACTGGTTATTCCTTAGTGATGTGGACACCGAGGAACTTGAAGCCCTCGACTTGCTCCACTACAGCCCTGTCAAGGTATGTTGGTTGCTTTATGTTTTGAGTCAGACATCGATTTGCTCTGTCTTGTTCAGTTGGAGGTCCTGAAGCAGTACCTGGATGTGGGAGGAAATGTCCTTGTGATGCTTCGTGAAGGAGGGGAGCTGAAGTATAACACTAATATCAACATCCTCCTTGAGGAGTTTGGGATAATGGTCAACAATGGTGAGTATCATATGGGGCGGCAGGTAGCTTAGTGGGTAAGAGCGTTGTGCCAGTAACCGAAAGGTCGCTGGTTCTAATCCCCGAGCCGACTAGGTGAAAAATCTGTCGATGTGCCCCTGAGCAAGGCACTTAACCCTAATTGCTCCTGTAAGTCGCTCTGGATAAGAGTGTCTGCTAAATGACTAAAATGTAAATATGAGTGGAATAGTCCTCGCAACTCAGATAGTTGTCATCCAGATATTTCACTGACAGAATTGTATTGGTGATGAGTGTTTTGTCTTCATTCTCTTGTTGCTGTCGTAAGGAATGTTTACTACAAGTATTTCCATCCAAAAGAAGCACTTGGTGTTCTGAACAGGTTAGTTGGTTAACCATTTAGACATTTTGATATTTGGTTTGTTCCAATGTAATAGTGCTTTTATCATTGCTTTCTTGTGCATATCAATGAAGTAAATGTGCCAGAAAAGGATAATGGGGTTGATAGTTCCACTAGCTATGAAAGACACATGCATTGTTGAGCGACTGAACAAGCATCTTGCTTTTAATCCTTTAGAGAGATCAGTCGGGCTGCAGGCAAAGTAGTAACAGGGATCATCAAAGACGAAAGTGCCAGGAACAATGCACAGTAGGTCTTCTCCGTTTTCATGTCATCATTCTCAAGTTTCTGTTTATTTGCATTTTCATAACTGTCAACAATCTCAACAGAGAACAGAGAGATTATCACAGTTTCATGTCTAATCATATCATATGCCAAATATTTTGCCAAAAGGAGTTGGCCCTTGTTAAACAAACTAATGAATGAAACAGTGATTGCAGTTTGGCTTGTCTGTGTCCCCCTGGTAAAAGATTAAACCTGTATTCTTAATGTGTACTTGAACAGGGCCCTCACATTTGTGTACCCGTATGGAGCTACACTGAGCGTGATGAAGCCTGCTGTTGCTGTTCTCTCCACTGGGTCCGTCTGCTTCCCCCTCAACAGGCCTGTCCTTGCCTTCTATCAGGTCAAGGTGAGGAGTTCCCATTGACCTCCTGCAAACACCACGGCATGATCATACGTTGTTTTTCAAAGATACAGTATGTCAGTTATTTACTAGTTCTGTCAATTGTTTTTTTTGTAATGCAGGAGGTAGGCAAACTGGCATTGAAGAGGAGAACAGTAAAATAATGGTGATTGGAGTGTCAGTTTAAAACACTCATACTTATGTTAAGTTTGAGATCCAATTGTGCAGGCTCTTTTACCCTTTTCATATGATCATTTCGAGTCAAACTGTACTGTGCTGGTTTGGATATTTTTGTCCTTTCCAGCATGGTTCTTGCAATTATGATGGATGCTTAACCAGGCCAGCACAGTACAGCTTGGCTGGGCATGTCTCGGTCCGCTCAGTAGTGAGTGTTAAAAGGGTATTTGACGACTTCCTGATGGAAGGCTCGTTAACATCTTCACAGCAACACCAGAGTAGTTGCGAGAGTGTGATCACTACAGCACTGAAATGGTGATGATGTAATGGTTGGTGATCCACTATTTGATCCCCTACTGACTCCATTTGGTTGTAATATTGCCTGTCTATTTTTGTTATGCAGGATGTCGTTTTCCAGTGGCTCATGGGTGATAACATTCATCTGAACCAGATAGATGCAGAGGACCCCGGGGTGAGAAGCCAAGGCATGTTTTAGGATCTACAGTTTTACCTTTTAGTCCTAGAAGTGACACTTATCATTCTGTGTTTGGCCCAGATCACAAATTACACCATGCTACCAGACACAGGCTGCCTGTCTGAGCGACTACGAGTATGCTTGCAAGAGGGAGAGGAAAACCCAAGAGACTTTACCTCCCCGTTTGACATGTCTCTACTCAAGCTATCAACAAACACATTGTCCCAAGTCATCAGGTGGGAACACATACTGCTTTAGAAACTGGACAGACATCAGTTTTCACTACAGTAGGCCATAGTTGGTGGCTACAGGATGTTTTGTCTGCTTTGCCTACATGTTTACAGTGTGTTTGTTGACAACAATGTGTTTGACTTGTCCCCCTGCAGTTCCTACATGCAGATGAATGTCAAACATGAGTCCCTCCAGCTGATCACACCTCAGTTTGAGACTCCCCTTCCCCAGCTCTAGCCTACTGTAAGTTTCCCCGCTCCAGCTCTACACAATCTCACCCAGCTCCTGTCTAGCTCAAGCATCTCACCGAGTGTATGTGGATTCTGTAAACTCAACTGAGAATGGCATGCGCACTATACTGTATTCAACACTTTATGCTAATTGACTGGGATTTATTGAAATGTGACAATACACACTTGGTCATTGTAGAAAATGATACATTTGCCATCCCTCTAAGATCTGTGTGTGTTCTCCTATGGGTTGCTTTGAGCAGGTATTTCTGCCTGCCTTCAGGGACCTGCCTCCCCCATGCTTGACCTCTTTGACCTGGATGAAACCTTCTCCTCTGAGAAAGTGCGTTTGGCACAGCTCTCCAACAAATGTAAGTGTTCAACCTTCATATCCTATTCTTGTGTTAACTGATCTCCTATAATGTCAGTGTTATATTTTAATCAAGCATGATTAATGAAGTGTTCTCTGTATTCTTCCTGCTGGCACGGACGATGATCTAGAGTTTTACGTGAGGAAGTGTGGGTACATCTTGGGGGTGACAGGGAATTTGGATAAAGACCAAAGGGATGCAAAACACATCCTGGAGCACATCTTCTTCCAGGTCGTAGAGTTCAAGAAGCTCAATCAGGTGAGCGATATGACCAACAGACCTTTTGATAAATGCACACTATTTGTTGATCTAGGCCTTGTTTGACATTCATTTGCGATTTATGTAATATAAATGATTTATCCAATCTCTCCTATACAGGAACATGATATTGACACAACAGAGACCAGCTTTTTCCCCGTTCTGATGACTCTAGCAACCAGTGAGAGTTTGTACATTTTGTATTTTTGCAGTGCATGTACACTACATGACCAAAAGTATGTGGACACCTGCTCGTCGAACATCTCATTCCAAAATCATGGGCATTAATATGGAGTTGGTCTCCCCTTTGCTGCTATAACATCCTTCCACTCTTCTGGGAAGGCATTCCACTAGATGTTGGAACATTGCTTCCATTCAGCCACAAGAGCATTAGTGAGGTCGGGCACTGATGTTGGGCAATTAGGCCTGGGTCGCAGTCAGTGTTCCAATTCATCCCAACAGTGTTTTTGTATGGACCTCGCTTTGTGCACGGGGGCATTGTCATGCTGAAACAGGAAAGGGCCATCCCCAAACTGTTGCCACAAAGTTGGAAGCACAGAATTGTCTAGAATGTCATTGTATGCTGTAGTGTTAAGATTTCCCTTCACTGGAACTAAAGGGGCCTAGCCCGAACCATGAAAAACAGCCCCAGACCATTCATCCTCCGCCACCAAACTTTACACTTGGCACTATGCAGTCGTGCAGGTAGCGTTCTCCTGGCATCCGACAAACCTATATTCGTCTGTCGGACTGCCAGATGGTGAAATGTGATTCATCAATCCAGAGAACGCGTTTCCACTGCTCCAGAGTCCAATGGTGGTGAGCTTTACCACTCCAGCCGACGCTTGGCATTGCGCATGGTGCTCTTAGGCTTGTGTGCAGCAGCTCGGCCATGGAAACCCATTTCATTAAGCGCCCGATCAACAGTTATTGTGTTAACGTTGCTTCCAGAGGCAGTTTGGAACTCGGTAGTGAGTGTTGCAACCGAGGACAGACGATTTTTACATGCTACAGCACTCCTGTTCTGTGAGCTTGTGTGGCCTACCACTTCGCGGCTGAGCCGTTGTTGCTCCTAGACGTTTCCACTACAATTACAGCACTTAGTTGACCAGGGCAGCTCTAGCAGGGCAGAAATTTGACACATTGTCTTGTTGGAAAGTGGCATCCTATGACGGTGCCATGTTTAAAGTCACTGAGCTCTTCAGTAAGGCCATTATACTGCCAATGTTGGTCTATGGAGAGTGCATGGCTGCGTACTTGATTTTATACACCTGTCAGCAACGGGCGTGGCTGAAATGGACAAATCCACAAGTTAAGGGGTGTCCACATACGTTTGTATATACACACAGTATATCCTTCTATATAGTTTTTCCAGTAAATACAAAAGAATGTCACTCCATAATCCTCCTTCAAACTTACTATATAGTTGAGATGTTTAATGTTCTAAATCTGATAAGATAAACCTACTGTATGAGGCTTTCCACATTTTATTTAGTACTTGTGTGTTGTGGTATAGCATCACAAATGTTGCCAAGAAAGTTTATTATAATTCCCTAAATACTCAAGAGGCATGGTCGATTTAATCAATACAAAACTTTATTTACTATAAAAAAGTTAAGGGACAATAAAATTCACACAGGCATCTTCTTGAATTTCCTCAATGTCTATAAAGGGGAAATCAGAGAACATGTCAATATACAAGGCATTAAACAAACTCAAAAGTCCTAGTTGCTCAACCATAAACATTTACAAGTTTAACTAGGAAATATCTTGCCAGGTCTGGTCCACTTTCACCCAAAATACTTTTTGCTGGCCAGGACACAGCAGCAACTCAACAAGAATGACAAGTCACTGAACCTGAGAACCTTACCTCAACTTTTCAGTACAGCACTGTCACATGCCCACTTTGGCTTGTTGTCAACACCTGTAGGGATGGATGTGCGTCTCTGCCATTCATCCTCAGCTGCTGACACTGAACCCGAGGTCTGGCTCAGGCTGGAACCGAGACTAGAACCCATAGTGACCTCCCTCCAGGACCTCTGGTTGTCCTCTGTGTTATTGCCGTGTGGGGGTGAGCCTGACCAGATCAGGGAGATCTCAGCCAGGGACGGTGGTGCAGACTGGAACTTGGGACTCCAGGTAGTCTCCAATGTGCTTGACTCAAGGATCGGTTTTGGACTGTTAGTCTCAGGTTTGATTAGGGAGACCTCCCAGGCAACCTGCGAGGCAGTCAGATCAATGTAGGACAGATCTAATGGGCAGGCTAGTTTGGGTTTCTGGAGGAGCACCTGCTCAGCGGGAGTAGAGGACTTGCTCTCCACAGGTATAGTGAGCCCTGGTGTTTGTGTAGCCTCCTTAGAGTTCAGGTTCAGGGCTTGAGAGGGGGACATAGGGTTGGGAGACTGACACAAGGAGGCCAGGATGGTTGGTTTGGAACCATAGTACTCAACCACAATTCTATTGGGAGGCAACACCGATGTGGACTGTCCCGCCAGTGACAGAGCAGACACAGACAAACTCTGCTCCAAGAAGCCTCGGTCGAGCTCTGAGGGAGATGGGCACTGAAAACTCACGGATGCATCTATGAAGCAAATAGTTCAAATGTCTCACCACCACATGATTTAACGTGCAATTGTTTTATATTGGTTATTCTTAATATGAATTACAATAAATGTCACCTATGCAGAGATTCAAATTGCTTTGCCAAATAAATCTGTTTTCTTACCAGCACTGGTAAACTCCTCATCCATGTTTTTGGTCAATCATTGAATGGTTGCCTAATTACAATGCATCTTGTATTTAATCTGCTGGTTGATTGTCTCACCTGTTTGGTGATGAGGGCCCTCACCAACAAGGGGGAGGGGGGTATATAATTAAGCAAAAAGGCCCGAGGGGGTGTGGTATATGGCCAATATACCACGGCTAAGGGCTGTGTCCACGTTGTGCATAAGAACAGCCCTTAGCCTTGGTATATTGGCCATATATCACAAACCCCCAAGGTGCCTTATTGCTATTATAAACTGGTTACCAAGGTAATTAGAGCAGTAAAAATAAATATTTTGTCATACCCCTGGTATACTGTCTGATATACCGTGGCTGTTAGCCAATCAGCATTCAGGGCTTGAACCACCCAGTTTATAATGTTGTGATAAAAGTGAGCATTTATCTCTAATTGAATGCATGAATAGATATGAATAGTGTATTCGGTAGACAGAGAAACACCATTGTGAAAAGTCCCTAGTCAGACAATCCGGGCCAGTTAAATATATATATATATATATATATATATATATATATATATAAGATATATATTTGTGTCCCTTGACAAATCATAGGAACAGATCAATTACTTTATATGAACAGATGGAACCGTGGCAATTCTGCGCGCGCACACCTCTGGTCACGTCACTCCCGGGAAAGCTGAGAGCCTGCAAGAAAAGAAGCGCGCGAGATAGGAACTTAAGCGCGGACTAGTGTGTTGTCAGCAATCCAGAAGTGTACCCAGCCCAGCCCGGCAACAATTCGATTTTTTTAACCAACGTGGATTATATACGACGAACAGACTTGCTCCTATAATATAGTTTGTAAATATATGCACGACGTGTCCAACAAAAATATACAATTGAATTTTAGCTAAGGGTGATGGAGGTAAAGCAGAGGGAAATGTCCTGGTGGTCGCGCGGGTAAGTAGTTAGCTAATCGGATTCTAACCTTTGTTATTGTTAGCTACAACAGCTGTTGGATAAACAACAATGTCCACATCCTAATGTTATTTTTAAGAGGACAGGGAGCTATGCACCATTTTATAATATATGAAATTACTGAATGTCATCGATAATTTTTGCGCGTTTACGTGATTTGACCGCCCTTTTGTCACCCAACCAGTTGAGGTCGACGTCAGATGTTGCTAACTACAGTAGTCAAATGATGGCATGAAACAATAAATTAGCAAATGTTCTAATGCATACCGTAGTAATCGGACAGCACAAACGTTTACTAACTCACATAATCTGTTGCTTGTAGTAAGTAATTTACCTAGCTAGGTATCAAAATGCATTGTGTGAGAATTCTGTGACCCAATTCTGTGACCCATCCAAGCAAGCTACTTTTCAGGGAATACAATGCATGTGCGCCCTAGATGTGGAGACCTTGCACTAAACTAGGTGGTGGGCAGTTTTTGTTTGAGAATGTGCTAGCTACTACCCCCTTTGCATGAGATTGATCTTGACCACCACACCCTGTTGCTTATCTTTTTAGAGAGGATGGGGAGGAGGCTATGTATCAGGATACTGACTCTGATGTGGCTGAACAGAGAGACTGTGGAAAGGTCAAAGTGAAGTGGACACAAGATGAGGTGAGTTAATGTCCCCCTTATACATCCCCCACAAATGCTGATCTATAAATGGTTGGTTATTTGGAATGAGCTAGTTACTTAGCTCTTCATAAAATGTGTGTACTTTATTCTCAGGATGACAATCTGAAAGCGTTGGTCCAGAACCGGGGCCCAAATGACTGGAAATACATTGCCAGCCTTTTACCGGTGAGCGAGATTGACAGACTACAGTATATATTCTGTTATATCCAGTTGACAATACAAATAATACAACTGAAGGGTTAAAATAGAAAAGACTCCATTCTGAAGGTCTGTGTGGTTTATTTTGCATTAAATCATTAACTGTATGGTAACCCTGTATGGCACAGAATCGCTCAGAACACCAGTGCCAGCACCGCTGGTTGAAGGTTCTGGATCCAGATCTTGTCAAAGGGCCCTGGACCAAAGAGGAGGACGAGAAGGTTAGTTGTGATGGTGACTATTCTACAATCAGTTCTACTAGACTTCTTTGTGAGAGCAACTTTAGTTGTTGAGTTTTACCAATAGTTGTTCAGTCAGCTCTACCTGCTTTGACTCATATCTAAGGACAGCCTCCGGGTGGCTTGTACTGCTACTCAGAGGCCACATTTTCAGACGGCCACCAACCCTGCATTCCTCTCCACAGGTGATAGACCTGGTGAACAGGTATGGCAACAAGCAGTGGGCTATTGTGGCCAAGCACCTGAAGGGCCGGCTGGGGAAGCAGTGCAGGGAGCGCTGGCACAACCACCTCAACCCGGACGTGAAGAAATCCTCCTGGACAGCAGAGGAGGACCTCATCATCTACAAGGCCCACTGCATGCTGGGAAACCGCTGGGCTGAGATTGCCAAGCTGCTCCCCGGAAGGTTACTGTGTTGACATGTACTCCAGCTAAGAGAGTCACTCTGACATGTCTGTGCTGAAATGTCAGGATCACTCAGAACAGCTTATTGGTCTTCACATATTTTGTGATAAATGCAATTGAATGGATTGGAGTTGGATTAGTGTTTGCCTTCATACACTAGCTATATCTTGATTACTACAACATTATGTTCAAATTTCACCTTACAGGACAGATAATGCTGTGAAGAACCACTGGAACTCAACCATCAAGCGTAAGGTTGAGATGGGCTTCTACAGCGGGGTGGATCCTTCTCTGAAATGTCAGCAGATGGAACCAGAGGAGGGCATGGCCCACCACAGTAGAGATCAGCAGGTAGGTTCCTTCTGAAATCAGTTTGACAACATCTGGGCTATGCTCAAACTAATCCTCATTATGTTTTGCTGTGAAACATGATTTGTTATGTCTACAGATGGACTATGGTGGTTCTATGGAGAGGGACCCAGACCAAGACCCCACACTGCCGGTAAAATGCAAACACTGCTAACTTCTATATGGGGGGGAAAGCAGATAAACTTGAGTGTTTTATATTATAAATGCAGTGCATTCGGAAAGTATTCAGACCCCTTCCCTTTTTCTACATTTTGTTACGTTACAGCCTTATTCTAAAATGGATTAAATAAAAACAAATCCTCAATCTACACACAATACCCCATAATGACAAAGTGATAACAGGTTTTTAGACATTTTAAAAAAAACAGAAATACCTTATTTACATACGTATTCAGACACTTTGCTATGAGACTCGAAATTAAGCTCAGGTGCATCCTGTTTCCATTGATCATCCTTGAGTGGTAAATTCAATTGATTGGACATGATTTGGAAAGGCACACACCTGTCTATATAAGGTCCCACAGTTGACAGTGCATATCAGAGCACAGTGGCCTCCATCATTCTTAAATGAAAGAAGTTTGGAACCACCAAGACTCTTCCTAGAGCTGGCTGCTCGGCCAAACTGAGCAATCGGGGGAGAAGGGCCTTGGTCAGGGAGTTAACCAACAACCCGATGGTCAGCCTCCCGAGTGGCGCGGTGGTCAATGGCACTGCATCGCAGTGTTGCGGCATCACTACAGCCTGGGGTTCGTCCGGGTTAGGGGAGGGTTTGGCCGGCGGGGCTTTACTTGCCTCATCACGCTCTAGCGACTCCTTGTGGCGGGCCGGGCGCCTGCAGGCTGACTTCAGTTCATGTTTCGGAGGACGCATGACTCGACCTTTGCCTCTACCGAGTCCGTTGGGGAGTTGCAGCGATGAGGCAAGATCGTAATCACGAAAAAGGGGGAAAAGGCACATGACAGCCCGCTTGGAGTTTGCCAAAAGGCACCTAAAGGACTCTCAGACCATGAGAAACAAGATTCTCTGGGCTGATGAAATCTGACACCATCTTTACGGTGAAGCATGGTAGTGGCAGCATCATGCTGTGGGGATGTTCTTCAGCGGCAGGGACTGGAAGACTAGTCAGGATCGAGGGAAAGATGAACGGAACAAGGTACAGAGAGATCCTTGTGAAACATTTCTAAAAGTCTGTTTTTTTGCTTTGTCATTATGGGGTCTGGGGTGTAGATTGATGAGGGGGAAAAACAATTATATCAATTTTAGAATAGGCTGTAACGTAACAACGTGGAAAAAGTTAATGGGTCTTAATACTTTCCGAATGCACTGTATGAAGTGCAGTACATGTAGAGCATGTGCATGTTAGAATATTACCAACTTATACTAATCTTCAGGGTAGTACACATTGCTCTGGTAGCTGTGTGTTCATATTCATTTAATCTATTCTTCTGGATCTCCATTCTAATTTTCAAGCTTATGTCGCTCCCTACAGGAGAATGCCAGTACATCCACTGTGAGAGGCGGACCAAAGGAAGCAGGCTCCCACAAGGCTGTCTCTCCTCAACAGTCAAAGACCCCCAAAAGTGAGCCAAACACCCCAGGAGGTGAACTGAATACCAGTAGCTGGGTGGTGGACAGCTCAGGCTTCCTGTCACCTAACGGCCCAGCCTTAAAAGAGGTGATGGAGATGGTAGATGGGGTAAGAGTGCTGGATGGGTTCATAATACCTCGGTCTTCTGAATTTCACCACATTCATCTACTGCTTTGAATGCAACACCAAATATCTCATTCGATGATCAGATATGTGAAACAAGATGTCTGACTATTTTGGTCTGACTTAGTTTGGCAAATTATATTTATTTTCATAAACTCTTCCTTACTTTGTTTCTGTTTCTTTCCCTCTACCAGGACCTGGATGGCTGGTGTAACATGGCTGTCTTTGATCTGCCTGAGGAGAGCCAGAGCCCAGAGCGGACCCAGTTTCGTCTGGAGGGCAGTGCTCTACAGGAGCTCAGTAAGGGTAACCGGGGGGAGCTGATCCCCATCTCCCCTGGAGGAATCACCCCACCCTCCATACTGACCCGGCGCAGCCGCCGTCGCATCGCTCTGTCCCCTGACTCCAACAACTCCAGGACCCCGAAGAGCACCCCGGTCAAGATCCTGCCCTTCTCTCCCTCACAGGTAATGGCTCAACCACCATTAACTAACACATAGTAAAATGACTTGTCGCTACCATTGTTTTGTACAGAATCATGTTGCCAAAAACACATTTTACCATGTTTAATTTCCCTAAGATTAAATTCCATATTTGTATTTATATGGTACTATTGCAAATGGATGTTAGGTGTAATATTAGTGAAAGGGTTTCTAAATGCATTGTATGTTTCCAGTTCCTCAACATGTGGACCAAACAGGACAACTTTGAGCTGGAGAATCCATCTCTCACCTCTACCCCAGTGTGCAATCAGAAGTCTGGGGTTACCACACCACTACACCGTGACAAGACTCCACTCACACAGAAGGAAAACTCTGTTTGCGCATCCAAGCTTTACCCAAACTCAGTGTATGTAATAAGGCATTATTGACACACAATTGTCTTGTATGCGCTATGTTATTATTGGCATGCAATATGATTAATCTCTCGTAGCAGTAGAGAATTATATTTAGTTTGTCTTTTTATAAAGGTTCATTACACCCAACCACAAGTCAAATCTTGACACCACCCCACGGACTCCAACTCCATTCAAAAATGCCATGGAGAAGTATGGTCCTCTGCGACCAATGGTGAGTCCCTCACTTGCTACAGTTGTCAATGAAAGCACCTGAATTGTCAGATGATTTCTATGGATAATTTATTCAATATCCTGCTGAAAATAGTTTATTTCTATACGTCTTAGCCTCAGACTCCGAATGAGGAGGACTTGAAAGAGGTCCTCTTGAAAGAGGCTGGGATTGAGCTGATTGTGACGGATGAGAGTCCACCCGAGCAAAGACGCAAGCAGGTGGTGAGTATGATGAAAGACGGCAGGAGGAAGTTTACATCACAGGAGGCTGCTGAGGGTAGGATGGCTCATAATAATGTCCTGAACGTAGCAAATGGAATGGCATCAACCACATGGAAACCATGTGTTTAATGTATTTGATACTTATTTGATGCCATTGCCACGAGCCCGTCCTCCCCAAATAAGGTGCCACCAACCTCCTGTGGTTTGCATCTAAGAGGAACGATAATTTACTTACATAAATGATGGTTCTCAGTCTTATGAAATGGTCTGAATATGTGGTCCATTCCTTTGCTTCAAGCATCGACCTCCAATGAAGAAAGTGCGTAAATCTCTGGCTCTGGATGTCATGGACTGCAAAGAGATCGTCACTGCCAGGCATCAGTCCATTAAGTCAGAGCCCAAAACCTGTCCTAAGGTACATTCATTAGAAATTGATTGAATTCTGCTGTTATTGTTGATTATTTTTATTTAACCTTTATTTAACCAGGTAAGCCAGTTGAGAACAAGTTCTCATTTACAACTGCGACCTGGCCAAGATAAAGCAAAGCAGTGCGATTAAAAACAACAACACAGAGTTACATATGGAATAAACAAAACATACAGTCAATAACACAGTAGAAAATCTATATACAGTGTGTGCAAATGTAGTAAGTTATGGAGGTAAGGCAATAAATAGGCCACAGTGCAAAATAATTTAGTATTAACACTGGCGTGATAAATGTGCAGAAGATGATGTGCAAATGAGCAAAATAAATAACAATGTAAATAACTATGGGGATGAGGTAGTTGGGTGGGCTAATTACAGATGGGCTGTGTACAAGTGCAGTGATCAGTAAGCTGCTCTGACAACTGATGCTTAAAGTTAGTGAGGGAGATAAGTGTCTCCAGCTTCAGAGATTTTTGCAGTTCGTTCCAGTCATTGGCAGCAGAGAACTGGAAGGAATGGCGGCCAAAGGAGGTGTTGGCTTTGGGGCTGACCAGTGAGATATACCTGCTGGAGCGCATACTATGGGTGGGTGTTGCTATGGTGACCAATGAGCTAAGATAAGGCAGGGATTTGCCTAGCAGAGATTTATAGATGACCTGGAGCCAGTGGGTTTGGCGACAAATATGTAGTGAGGGCCAGCCAACGAGAGCATACAGGTCACAATGGTGGGTAGTATATGGGGCTTTGGTGACAAAACGGATGGCACTGTGATCGACTACATCCAATTTGCTGAGTAGAGTGTTGGAGGCTATTTTGTAAATGACATCGCCGAAGTCAAGGATCGGTAGGATAGTCAGTTTTACGAGGGCATGTTTAGCAGCATGAGTGAAGGAGGCTTTGTTGCGAAATAGGAAGCCGATTCTAGATTTAACTTTGGATTGGAGATGCTTAATGTGAGTCTGGATGGAGAGTTTACAGTCTAACCAGACACCTAGGTATTTGTAGTTGTCCACATATTCTAAGTCAGACTAGCTGAGAGTAGTGATTCTAGTCGGGCGGGCAGGTGCAAGCAGCGTTCGATTGACGGTGATTTCATCCATTGATTTGTATTTTGTCTTGTCCTTGTGGCAGGCTGAGACGTCTCTCAACTCCTCGTCCTTTTGTATGAAGACGGAAGATAAAGAGGAGAATGTTCTGGATCAGGGCTTCTGTTTAGGACCCAGTGAGAGTGGTGCATATTCCAACCCAGTGCCCCCAACCCCAGTGAGTACTCTAATGAAACGCGACCATTGGCTGCCATCTAAGTGAAATATTTATTTAATAGCTGTCTTTTTCATGTTTATTTTTATACTATATCACAATCAGGAGTTTTCTAATAGCCTGTAATGCACACATCTATTGTAGTGGTTTTCATTTCTCTATTTGTCTGTTGCATCTGAAGTTATTGATATGCTTTGCTGTGTCCTCAGATGTCCAAGGCATGGGAAGCAGTGGTATGTGGACGGACTAAGGACCAGCTCATAATGACAGAGAAAGCAAGACGTTACCTCCGTTTACTGAAATCCCACGCTCCTAACCGGGCCCTCATCCTGTCCTGAGCTCTCACTAACTTAGTTGTCCTCTGTGCAGACATTTTCGTGTGTTAAATATAGGGTTGCAAAATTCTGGGAACTTTCAATAAATTACCTGGTTTTCCTAGAATCAGGAGGGAATAAGCAGGAAATCCGGGATCTTCCAACCATGATTTCTGGAAAACCAGGGAATTTATTGAAAGTTTGCAACCATAGTTAAACACTCCCTAGAGCCCCCTGCAGAAATCTAATTAGCATACTAAAAACATCTCCATCAAAGTGTGTCAGTTTAAACTAGAGATATGTTTTTTTGCATGGGCTGCGTCTTAATCCACTGCATCTGCCGATGTCGCCCTTCCGCATCTGCGGTGAAAGGTGGCAGAGCTAGTGCGGTGTTTGTCAGACTATGAGCGTCACGGGACTCGTCTGATGTCGGTACAGCCGATCTGTCAACTTCTGTCTGTAGTGTCCGAACAGTTTGGGCTACACACTAATATGACCCCTCTATGGAAAGGCGAGTCTCTCATGAACACGTACATGTCGGTTGTTTTGCTCTAGGACGTAGGACGCTCACAAGACTAGTCTGACGGTAGCCAGTTAAAAAAATGAATGGAAGTATATATGGAGATAGTTTAGTGCCTAGAAATAAGGGGTTAAATACATGTATTAAAAATAAATATAAAAAAAGGTTCCTGATCGTGCTTATATCTCTCACATATCGGACAGACACTTCAAAACAAACTTCCTTTCAATTTGTTTGGGGGGGCCATCTGTTTATCAATATATGAAGCTGTTCAATGTGTTTCTATGGGCTAATGGCAGTAAGGCCAAATTCAATGTTTCATCAAATACACATACCTCTCTCTCTCTCGCTCTCTCTCGCTCTCTCTCAAGGGGTCCTACAATTCTAAATCAAATAGCTAAATGATCCTTGGTTAAAAAAAATACCCATATGTTAGTTTAGTAGAACCCCCCCCCCCCCCCCCCCCCTGGTTTAGACTTTTAAGGATTAAACATGTTCAATGCAACTGTTCCCAACCTTAGGCTGCATTTACACAGGCAGCCTAATTATGATATTTTGCCCAATTATTGTCAAAAGAGCAAGGTTTTATGTTACTTAAACAAGGTTTTGTCAAATTGATATCTCGTGCTATGTTGGGCAAGCTTAACTGAACTGAAGTAATGTTTTCTCAGTCCTGGATACTTGTAAATATGAAATGAATGGTATAGTAGGGCAACTTTTATAATGCTATTTCAAGTGTTTCAAATGTAATGAAGTTTGAATTTACACACACCGTTCTCTAGTAAAGGTCTTAACACTGTCCAACAATTGAATAATCCACACTTAAATCACATTTTTGTCATACTCAAATGTAATGTAAATGTCTATCTTATTTTTATTTTGATATCTAAAGTTCACATGTCATTTTGCACTTACATAATTTATATCAGTATTGGAGTTGTTTGTAACTATGTGTTTGTCATGGTTGCATTTGAGTACCTGATCAATCAATAACGAATGGAAACAAGTTTACTCACACAAGAAAACAGGAGGTTGCTGACATGTTTGTTTCCAATGATCTATTTTTACATAATATGTAGTCTACTGTCCACTTGTAGGTTTATTATAGGCTACTATTTTAAGAATAGAAGTATGTGATGTGAATATGCATCACTGTAGAAGATTCATACACTCAGGTTGCCCTATTCCCATGTCCAAAATTTTATAGTTTTCATAAGATTGTGTATGGTACAGGATTTCTCTACTGAAACCTGATAATGTTCTGTGCAGATAACAAAATGTATGAGAAAATCTCATTTGTTGACTAATGTAAACAACCTACAAAATAATAAATTATATGAACAATTTGTATAATATTCTGTGCATTTACAATGTGTGATTGAAAAAGTAATACACGTATGATGCCATTTTAGAGGTTGCCTTTTTATTGACCTAATCGGTGGGTGAGCTATTGATTTTGTGGTAAATCATAGATGGGCCAGATTAGGAATTGAGTGTGGTTTGTTCCTTGATGAGGACCAATGAAAAACGGACACAATGCTCATGTGACCCTACCCCTTTTTATGTTGAGGTAAAGGCACATGAGCCCGGTTACGTCTGAAAGGCACTGAAATAGAATGTGAATTTGTATGTAAATGTACAATATTTGCACAGATTATACCAGATTATTTTATATAAAAAAATAAATTATTCTGGCCCACATTTCAGACATGTCCAACAAACTTCTGGTTCTGATATCAGAACGCGTTCATTCATTTGCAGCAGTTAACTATACGAATAGGGGTAACGACACTAGCTGTCAGATTGGACATGTCATAAAACAAAGCATCTGAGGAGAGATGATTTTAAAATGTTATTTTATTGAAATATATTTGGGAAATAATAAATTATGTGATTAGGTGGTTGTCTAATAATAATACATACCAAGTCTGAAAATGCAATTACCACCCCATGTCTTTGAAATGGAAGTCTCCAAGGCTTGGAACCCGGAAGCAATTGCGGCTCTTTGGTGACGCTACATTAGAGTGGACCAATGATCTATATATACATCATTGGAGTGGATATGGCCCAGCCTCGTAAGTATAAAGCGTTTTGTTTCCCTTAAATACGATATAAATAAACTTCTTATTAATAGTTGCCACCCCAATTTAGTAATATCGTTTTAGCGGTGATTTTGATATCGCCAAACTCTACAAATGGCGCGTGCAGGTATGTAACGACTGGACTCGAGTCCAGGCTGGAGTGACAGGACCAATGTGGAAGCTAACGTTAGAAGGTAGCTAGGTTGTCGTAGACTCGTAGCTAACTAACTAACTAGGTATTGCTATACATATACCTTACATGTCCATCATCATAATGACCATTGGATTGTATACAAATGTACGTTGTCTGTATTATGATGTCTAGTGAGCTTGTGAAAAATCTTATCGCTCACGTTAGCTAGCTTTCTAGCTAACTAAGTTGGTTAAGGTAGTGAGCTGGTTCCTCTAGTTAAGAAATTGAGTGTTCTAGTGTTATGCATGGGTTGCTGTGCAATGGTTGCATGATCGAGACTACGAACTACTTCACTTTGACTTCACAAGTCTACACTTCTAAAATGGGGAAAAAAATAGTTGCAAACTTTCCTCTTACTGACCTGGCAGTAACCATCATGCATGTGTCCCCACAGGTGTCTTCTGCTTGGTCCTCCTCACCGTGGCTCTCGGAGCCCAGGCTCTAACCCCATCTCATCACCTGTCCCTGTCAGACGTGGAGAGACTTAAGGGCCTCCTGAGCCAACCCTTCACAGACCTGGCATCAGCATACTACTCAATCGTTGGTCTGAGCAAGCTTGGAGCCTCAGTTGCTGATGAAAATGTAAGAACATTTGCTTCTAATTATTGAAGGAAAGAGGCTTGAATGGAGTACCCAAAACATGTAGCCTATGGCATGTTTAGTTACCTAGGCTGTTTTCAATTTAGGCTATTCACTTCCATAATCACCACAATGTTTACCTATGTGTTTTACTGTACAGTTTGTTGCCTTATCAAATCCTTGTTTTTTTCTTTTGCAGGATGCCTGTCAGTTTCTGAAGGCCCAACTGGACCCAATGAGTGTCGACTCCCTCTTCTTCGCTGCTGAGGCCAGTCAGGCCATCTCAGACTGCGAGGTAAGTAGTCCTATAGGGAGCTTACTTCTGTATGACAAAAAAATATGTAATTTGCACCTCCAGTAACATAAACGGTGGCTTGCATGGAATTAAGACAACCTTTATGATGGTGGTTTTGGATGCTCTGCCAGTGAAGTCATCACTTGCTCTGTTTTCTCCCTCTTTTTATGAATTACTTGTTTAGATACCAGTATCCAACGAGACCCGTGACATCCTTCTGGCAGCAGTCAGCGAGGACTCTACTGTGACACAGATCTTCAGAGCTGTCAGTGCCCTCAGTTCCCTGGGGCTTCCTCTGGCTTCACAGGAAGTCGTCGCTGCCCTGGTCGCCCGTATTGCCAAGGAGGACAACGTCTTGGCGTGAGTAATACCCTCTGGCCTGGCAGATGGAACAGACTTGCTGCTGAATCGTTTCTTTGATCATTTTGGTTTCTGAACTTCATTGTTACTTTGAGTCCTTTCAAACAAACTCTGCTTTTGAACAGATAACGCATTCCAATGGCCATTGATCTAAAGACTTGACACCGTTTTGTCATGGTAAAGTGACTGTTCTTTTTCTTGTCTCTCTGTACAGGATCACCACGGCACTCCAGACTGCCACCCGTCTTTCCCAGCAGGCTGAGCTCGGAGGAATCCTGGAGGAGATTGAGGTGAGTTTCACAAGTCCACCAGGTGGTGCTGTGCTACAGGTTTTTTCGGGTGAATTACTTCGCAAAGTTGCAAATTTCTCACATGCAAACTGGTTTCTCAAGCAGATATGTTGTATTTGAACCTTTCTCTCCCTCTTAAGGATCTGGCAGCACGATTGGATGACTTGGGTGGAGTGTACCTCCAGTTTGAGGAGGGACTTGAGGCGACTGCCCTCTTTGTGACAGCAGCCTACACACTGTCAGACCATGCGGACACGGAGCCTCCTCTGAAAGAGGTAACCTGCTGTCACCATTTATGTGGGTGGTAGGTTTGAGGGTAGTAGAAGGAAAGCAGGTTCCATGAGGGGCCATGACTTTTTCCTGATCATGTGTTCTGTATTAGATCTCTGGAATGGAACTCCAGAGTAGCTTGCTTACTTTCTCGTGTTCTTATTTCTATTTCTCGTGTATTTTTTTACAAAAAAAATTGTACTACTGATATTGATTACTGCATTGTTGGGAAAGAGCAAGCAAGAAAGGCATTTCAGTGTACTTGTGCAAATGACAAGAACTTGAAACCCCAGCTATCTTATCAGATTACTATAAATGTGGAACTAATGTGAGCTGTTATCCCCACAGGACCAGGTGATCCAACTGGTGAACTCTGTGTTCAGTAAGAAGTCCTGGGACTCCCGGTCTGAGGCGTTCAGCGTAGCCTGTGCTGCTGCCGCCCTCTCCAGCAACCGCTTCCACGTGCCAGTCATCGTCAGCACCCAGGGGCCTGCCACAGTCTCCCACAGCCAGCCAATCCTGCATGTAGGCTCTACTCTACTACTCCAGTGTTTATCATCCAGTGACATTTTAAAAAAAAAGTATATAATTTGGATGTCATCAATTGGAAACACATTTGAAGGATGTCACATGGATAGTGTTGTTTCTTACTTGAGCCCTAACCTTGTTGACATGAACCCTAGTGGACCTTGAGGAGCAAAAGGTTGAGTGCCCCTGCTCTAGTCCATCACTGGGCGTTGGTCTCCAACACATTTTCTTTTCACTGACCATCCATCTGCCTCCTTGTCTTTACCCACAGCTTCTGGTGACTGACATCCTTTCCAATCCTCTTGCCTCAGCCAGTGTGCTGGTGGAATCTGCTCAAGCTGTAGCCTCTAAGAGCGTCGTACTCAGCCAGGCACCTTTCTCCCTCAGAGAGTAAGTATGATAGACAGACAGATTTGAATTTGTCTGGGCAATAATGTTGCTAGTTGTGTAGATTAATATTGAGTGTTATAGAATCCAAGATTGAATCAAATCTTTGGATTCAAGGAAATGTCTCTGCTGTTCATGTATGTTATTTGTATGTCAGCGTTGCAGTTTGTAATAATTATTTCCACCTGTTTTACAGTGGCATTTTTGAACTTAACTTCATGGCTGGCCAGCCAGCTAGTGGATATTACCAGTTTACTGTGGCTGTCACTGGGGACAGCCGATTGGTTGCCAATCAGGTTGAGGTGAGCTTGTCTTCTATTCAGGATACATTTATTGGGAATCATTTGGTACCCACTTAGATTAAACAGAATATTCTATAGACTATTTGGCAGTTGTGCCAGTTTAAGGGGGGGGGGGGGCATGGTTCACACATTACCAAGTATGAAAGGTCTATAGTTTTGGATTTGTTATTTTGAGAAAACCATCAATTAGCCTAAATGTTCTAGTTCTTGGAAGTTAAGTCAGTTGCCTCTGGCTTTTGTCAAAGGTTGGCAGTTCATTGTGCTTGCCATGGACGATTATTCCAACAATGTAGCCTTTACATTAGCATACCAAACTTTTTATGTTACTTGACCATGTGTCAAAGCTATTAACCTCTAGCATTTACTTAAGCTTTCTCTGACTCACCATAAATGTGACAATCACCCTGCTTCATTTGAATTTGCACACAATTTAATCATAAGAATTACATTGAATTCCTTCATCTCTCTCTCTCTCTCTTTCTCTCCACCTGCCTTCAGCTGAAAGTGAAGGTGTCCACTGAGGTAGCCATCACTAATATGGACCTGTCTGTAGTGGATAAGGACCAGAGCATTGGCACCAAGACATCCAGGTCAGAGAGCCCAACCATGTACATGAAGACCTTTTTAATACTGCCCTTATGAGACCACAGAGGTTGACCCTACCCATAGCCACACAAAATAAATGTAATGTACATCATTTTCATTTTCAGGGTGGACTATCCCTTCAAGGCCAAGGGCTCCTTTACTGCAGACAGCCACCAGAACTTTGCCATGACTTTCCAGTTAGTAGATGTCAACACCGGAGTAGAGCTCACCCCCCACCAGGTATTTAACTTCCTGTGTGTACATTTTTATGTTCATGCTCTCATTCTGTCAACATTGCATTGTGTTACACCTCTTGAGGGTATTTTGTAATGCTGTTTTTTGTTTATTTCCAGACCTTTGTGAGGTTTCACAATCAGAAAACTGGCCAGGAGGTTGTGTTTGTGGCTGAGCCTGACAGTAAGAACCTTTATAAGTTTGAGCTGGACACAGCAGAGAGGAAGTCTGAGTTTGACTCCATGTCTGGGACCTATGCCCTCCACCTCATCGTGGGAGATGCCACCTTGGAGAACCCCATTCTGTGGAACGTGGCTGATGTTGTCCTGAAGTTCCTTGATGAGGAGGCCCCAGCAGCCATCCAGTCCAAGACCCTTTACATGCCCAAACCAGATATCCAGGTTAACAACAAGCCAAACACTTGCATATAATGTGACATTGTGATGAGTTATAATGTAACAATTAGCTTTTTCTCTACTCTTGAGGCTGCTAGTCATAGCTTGAAATGACTGATGAAGATTAGATAAATCTAACTCTGGTGCATTACCCATAGTCGCTGATAGATAAACTAGTTAATTGATCATGCCCGAGAAGCCGATGTTTGGAGGATATATTGGCACAGGTGTTTTTAGGCCCGAGACTAAGTCGAGGGCCGGCAAACCGTGCCAATATATCCTCCAAACACCGGCTTCGAGGGCATTATCACTTTTATACAACGGGTTACCAACATATTCAAATAATGATTCACATATTTGCATTAACATTTTTATTTTGATGAATTTATTCATACTATTTCATCCTTCCACAAGATATAGTTTGTTCTATCGGTTCTGTATCTATGGATGTGACCCAGTCGTTCGTTCTAAATGTTCCATTGCCATACTGGCTGGCAACGTTCTTACCCCTTGCTTGCTTTACATTCACGTCAAAAAGTGCAGCCAGAATAACCGCAAAGTAGCCGCATTTGCATTTGTTTAAGCTGTTTTCTTGTGACATTTATTTGCACACATCAATAACAATGGGCTAATGAGGCGCAATTTTGCCTGGCATAGAAAATGTGCTCACTCGTCAGGACACTGTTGTTCAGCGGCGCTAGCCAACAATCACTTCAAACTGAAGCTGGAAAGACTGCAAACTAGCTGCACTTCGTTTCGTTTGACCTTTTTTCAATTGACATTTCTTTGTATATATCCATAAAAATGATTCATGATTTCGACTGGCTGAGAAAAGCTGCCTGCCTGTCTCTCGTCTCGACACGTTGATTACTATGGGACAGCTGGAGATCGAATTTGAATATTGAAACAATGTTGCAAATGTCAGAGAGACGGACAGCAAGGTTTATACAAATCTCGGCTGTTGAAAACTAAATGTTTGTCTAAAAGAAATGTGAGATAATGTCTAGATGCTTTTTATTGTGGAGATCAAGTTTATAAATTGCTTGGCTGGGTTGATGAGACAGTGGATTGCGCAGTCAGATGGAACAGAGTAAATAGGCATTTTAAAGTCATAGATTTAGCCGGTGGTAACTTGTGGAATAGACACTGGCTGGAATGCAGTTTTAACCAATCAGGATTAGACCCACCTGTTGTATAATAAATGGATAAATAACTGGACTTGAATGATGTTCTCCTTTGTAGCACTTGTTCCGGGAGCCTGAGAAGAAGCCACCCACGGTGGTGTCCAACACCTTCACAGCCCTCGTCCTCTCGCCATTCCTCCTGCTGCTTATTCTGGTGAGACTCGCTTTACTTCTCAAAGTTTGGAATAGTTTGAAGTTCAATGGTAACCTTTAGAAAGTGTTCAAATCTGCCTCTATTCAGTCTGTTTTTTATTTACTCAGGCTTTGAATAAAGCCTTTGTACATCCTGAATGAGCCTTGGTTTTTGATTTAACACAACACTTGTTTTCATTTGAAATTGCAGTAGCAATGCTGTATGACATTTTATGTATTTTCTATGACATTTCTAGTTTTGAGTGATGACATTATCCTTACTGTGAAAGGCTTGGATCACTATGTTGTGTGCTACCTGGACAATCTATTTTCAGACCCTTTGTACTGTTGTGGTCTTTGTACTGTTGTGGTATAGTCTCTCCTTCTCTCCCCCTCTCTGTTCAGTGGTTCAAACTCGGGGCCAACATCTCAAACTTCAGCCTCTCCCCCAGCGCTGTGCTCTTCCATGTGGGCCATGCATGTGAGTACTGAGCAATGATGTAGTTCTGAGTCTAGGATTACAATGGAAACTACTGGCATTGTCACTCCACAGATACAGTGGCTTCAGAAAGTATTTACACCCCTTGACCTTTTCCACATTTTGTTGTTACAATGTTTGATTAAAATTGATATAATTGACATTCTACAAAAACAAAAAATACTCAGCAATGTCAAAGTGAAAGGAAAAATTCTAACACAAAAATGTATGAATAATAAAACACTAGTATAACTTGATTAGATAAGTATTCATTCCCTGAGACGATACATGTTAGAAACACCTTTGGCAGCGATTACAGCTGTGAGTCTTTTTGCGTAAGTCTCTGATTTACACACCTGGATTGTACAATATTTGCCCATTTTATTATTTTTTAAATTCTTCAAGATCTGTCAAGTTGGTTTTTGATCATTGCTGGAAAGCCATTTTCATGTCTTGCCATAGATTTTCAAGTAGATTTAAGTCAAAACTGTAACTAGGCCACTTGGGAACATTCAAATTCTTCTTGGTAAGCAACTCCAGTGTAGATTTGGCCTTGTGTTTTAGGTTATTGTCCTGCTGAAAGGTGAATTTGTCTCCCAGTGTCTGTTGGAAATAACGTTTTCCTCTAGGATTTTAGCTGTGCTTAGCAGTATTCTGTTTCTTTTATCCCCCAAAAAACTCCATAGTCCTTGCCAATGACAAGCATACCCATAACATGATGCAGTTACCACCATGCTTGAAAATATGAAGAGTGGTACTCAGTGATGTGTTGTGTTGGATTTGCCCCAAACATAACGCTTTGTATTCAGGACAAAAAGTTCATTTCTTCGCACAATGTTTTTGCAGTATTACTTTAGTGCCTTGTTGCAAACAGGATGCATGTTTTGGAATATTTTTATTCAGTACAGGCTTCCTTCTCTTCACTCTGTTATTTAGGTTAGTATTGTGGAGTAACTACAATGTTGTTGTTGTTGTTCCATCCTCAGTTTTCTCATATCACAAGCATTGAACTCTGTTTTAATTCACCATTGGCCTCGTGGTGAAATCCCTGAGCAGTTTCCTTCCTCTCTGGCAACTGAGTTAGGAAGGACGTCTGTATTTTTGTAGTGACTGGGTGAATTGCTACATCATCCAAAGCCTAATTAATAACTTCACCATGCTCAAAGGGATATTCAGCTTCTGCTTTTCTTCTTCTGCTTTTTTTTTTTTTTTTTTTTTACATCTACCAATCGTTGCCCCTTTTTTGCGAGGCATTGAAAAACCTCCCTGGTCTTTGTGGTTGAATCTGTGCTTAAAATTCACTACGCGATTGAGGGACTTTACAATTATCTGTATGTGGGGTACAGAGATTGGGTAGTCATTCAAAAATCATGTTAACCACTATTATTGAACAGAGAATGAACAGAGAATGAGTCTATGCAACTTATTAAGTGATTTTTGTTAAGCACATTTTTACTCCTGAACTTATTTAGGCTTGCCAAAGGGTTGAATAATTGACTCAAGACATTCAACTTTTAATTGTTCATTATTTTTGAAAATGTATTACAAACAATTCCACTTTCACATTATGGGGTATTGTGACACAAATTCTCAATGTAATAAAAAAATAATAATCAGGCTGTAAAACAACAATGTGGAAAAAGTCGAGGTGTGTGAATACTTTCGGAAGGCACTGTATCTCTTTTTCCGAGTTAATCACCTTTACTCTGTGTTCTTGTTGTTTCAGGCATGCTGGGTCTGATGTACATCTACTGGACTCACCTCAACATGTTCCAGACCCTCAAGTACCTGGCCATCATCGGCAGTATCACCTTCCTGGCTGGAAACCGCATGCTGGCCCAGAAAGCAGTCAAGAGGTATGGCTAGGGCGCTACACTGACCTTGTGTGAGCCCTAGGTTAGGTATGGCTCCTGTTAGCGATCGCAACACAGACTGTCAGAGTTTTTCTCTCTAGAGAGCTCTTGACCATAGGGAGAAAGTTTGACCTCTTTTTAAAATGACAAGGACTCTGGGGCTTTGGGACCTCTTGGTGGTTCTCAGAGATGTGGCTGACTGCCGTTAACTCAGGGCCTACAGTGCCACGCTGCCCTCTCAGTGTGTGTCCCTGGGGCCCCCTGGCCGTGCCGGACTAGCAGAAGAGTGGAGCCTCCACTGTAGAGCGTATGACCACTGGGACCATGAGAGGGCCTGGCCAGATTGAACTGTGTGAGCAATTCCCATCATGCCTTCCACATGTACAGCTCTCCAACGGCCATAGAGACACAGCGGTAATAAGTGTGTCACTGGCTGAAGACGTCAAGGTCTAATTGGCCAGCTTTACTGTGGAATTACTGCACCTTGTTCATGCCATATCTGACCGGGTCCTTTCAACCATTTGCTAGTCTAATGATCCTTCTGGTTGATGTGGTGTCAGTGGATTTAATTTCACAATTGATGAAACTTGACTTGTTTCTGCTTGCCTGACTTGCTTTCCTTCTCTAGCTGCTGTCTCCTATAGTGCTGGCCTGTCTCCTTAACTCTCCTGTGTACTCCTTGCTACATTTCTCTTTTTCAGGATTGCCGCAGAGCAAAGTAGTAGGTTGGCAAAGTATAGGAGCCTGCGGTAAAGGCCTGTTTTCTAATAACAAAGGGCCAGTCTTCCAGGCTGAAGTAAGGGCATCCCTATGGACTGCATCCCAGTGTATCCCCATTGCCCTGTATAATGCATGGCTGTGTGGTGCAGTCAGGGCTCACACTCTATCTAGTGTTCTGGCCAGCATCTTGCTCATCCCACCACAAAATCATCTGCTCACCTTTTTACAGCTGGGACTATAAACCCAAAATTATCCACACCGACCATACCGATCACTCATCGCAGGTTGCTGCTATCGTTCATTACGATAAGTAGCCGATTACTAGAGAAATGTGAAGTACGAAATGAAATGAGTTTGCTAATATGGGTGATTTGTTAATGGGACAATTGATGGCTACAACCATCAAACTAGTAGTAGTTTTAAATAATAATATAAAATAACTGGTGCATATTAATGTTATAAACGTAACGTTCTATTTATCATTATCGCGTCAATTCAGGCAATTTATCGCGATATGGGATTTTTGTCCATATCACCCATCTCTATCACCTTTTAACATCCTGTCCATGTCACCATTTATTCATCTTCATATTGCTTGCCGTTGTACATGGTTATTCTCAGATGCAACGTGTGAGAATAACCCTATGTCATCCTGATTGTTCTGCAGTTCATGTTCTGTTGCGGAGAAAGTCCTGTACACTTCATCTTTATGCTGTAAAGAAATGCATGAAGAAGTTTTACACATCAGATGTGTTAAACATGTATCTAGGACTTGTCATTCAGTTAACAGGCTTTAAATTAGATGATTGTTTAAGGTCTTTGACTGTCAGGTAGTTGACGCATACAACAAACATTCTAATATATGTATTTTTTTCTCTTGCAGACTTGCAAGTAAATGACAGAAGATTGAAGAAGATTTAAAGATGCTTCGTTTTTGGTTTTCAAGGATTCCTTTATGGACACATCATCAACCATCAGACTGTCATCAAAGGCATGTTATTCTGTGAATCCAATGGACAATTTGAAATGCAGATTGACTTTTTTATTTTTCAACTTGAAAATAATGAATGTTATAATCAAAGGTGTTGGTAGAGGGACAGGACAGATGCTCACTGACACTACTCCTATTGAGGGCTGGAAAGCTAACCATCCTTGCACTTCATTTTTCTGTGACTTTTTTGCAAATGCCTTATTTTTTTTTTCATGGCAGGTTTGGGGATATAATTTGTGGTTTCATAATGAAATCGGGATGGATTTGTTTTTTTGTAAGTTCCTGTTTCTCTGTGCCCATCTTACCACTGTTGCGTCAAAATTTGCGTCAAGAAGTGAACCATTTGATTTTTTTAAGGCCTTTTTATGTAAGTTTGACTGTGGGCTTCACTGACATGTTCATCATAAATCTGTATTGTATTTTTGTCTTCTCACTGAATTACATGTGGAGGGTGTGGATCTATTTTCCCCTTACAATAAAGACCCAACCCTCTCTAGAACAAAATAGTTGCTGGGCAATTCTAGAAAATCCTGTTTTTGTAATGAAATGAAGAAAGAAATGGGGATTAATGAGTGTACTGCTTTTTCTTCTGGGTGCAATACACACTTTAGTGTTATTCTATCATTTTTATTTTTTTAAAAGTAATTAAAATAGTAGTCCTTTTACTCTTGCTTTATTGTGAAAGCTGTGCGGTTACATTCTTCAGTACAGTTGTGTTTGACAGGGTAGTGTATGAACTGAGCAATGTGTTACAGCCTTTTCTGTCCTCAGAAAAAAGGTTAAGTATCGTCATGGCATATACTTTCAGGTAATTTGAAGGGAGGTGTTTAGGGTCGGAGATGGCCAAATAAATACTGATTGTCTTCACTTTATCCTTCACTACATAGAAGTCTGGAAGAGAACAGTAAGTAGGAATGTCAGTCAAATCATGTGACAACACACACTTCACATATTACAAATTGGCAATGTACACTCCCCTACGTATTTATTTGGACAGTGAAGCTAAAACTTGTAATTTGTCTCTGTACTCCAGCATTTTGGATTTGAGATCAAATGTTTTATATGATGCGACAGGACATAGTGTCCCCTTTTATTTGAGGGTATTTTCATATCTGTTTTACCACTTAGAAATGAAAGCACTTTATGTATCTAGTCACCCCCTTTGAAATATTTGGACAAATTCACTTATGGTGTATTACATTTTGTCAAAGGTTTAGTATTTGGTCCCATATTCCTAGCACACAATGACTACATCAATCGTGTGACTACAAACTTGTTGGATGCATTTGCAGTTTGTTTTGGTTGCGTTTCAGATTATTTTGTGCCTAATAAATAAGTAAATAATGTATTGTGCCATTTTGTAGTCCCTTTTATTGTAAATAAATATGTTTCTGAACACTTCTACATTAATGTGGATGCTACCATGATTACGGATAATCATGAATGAATTGTGAATAATGATGAGTGAAAAAGTTAGAGGCATAAATATCATACCCCCCCCCCCCCAAAAATGCTAACCTCCCCTGTTATTGGTAATATTGCCAAATACTAAACTTTTGACTAAATTGACTGCATTATAAGTGAATTTCTCCAAATACTTACGACACCTTCAAATGGGGGGACTAGATACATAAAGTGCATTCATTTCTAAATGGTAAAACAGATATCTATGAAAATACCCTCAAATAAAAGGTGTCACTGTACTATCGCTTCATATAATTTTTTTAAACATTTGATCTCGAATCCAAAATGCTGGACTAAAGAGCCAAATTAAAAGTTTTAGCTTCACTGTCCAAATAAATACGTAGGGGTGTGTAAGTACGTGTATGCCTTGAATGCTTACAAATAGCTTGTTTTAACTTGACTGCAGTAAATCATGAGATTTCCAAACTGCGTGCTGAGTGGGAACTGTACCTTGGCTTCTTGACATTGTTTTGCTGTCGCCTGTAACTCTGTTTTCTCTGAATGGATGTGAGATCTGGTTTGTAGGTGCCCTCGTAAATGTCAGACTGGCCGTTTCACTTTATAGCTCCCAGCTTCTTCTCTGTGTTTAAAAGATTGAAAACAAAGAGAGAAAGAATATACTACGGTCTGTATAAACATTTGCAGTGCTTCTATACTTTTGAAGCATTTTTATAACCACTATCATACTCTGGCCATGTTCCAATTCTTGTCTGCAATTGCTACCCTCCCGTCTCCTCGCTACCCTTCAAAAAAAGTGTAATGAAGGGGCCTTGAATGGAAGGAGACACGTAAAGGAAACAAATTAAAACACTATTGGGACACTACCTAAGGAACCTTCCCTTACTACCATAGTACAACAATGACAGAATATTGGACAGAAACCCATATTTTGGAAATGTTGCAAGTGTAGTTGTAAAAAGTGTGCAGCATCTCTCACAATGCTCATTGTAAGTTGTGTGTCCAACTCTTGTAGTTATTTTAGCATTTACGACACACTTGCATGACTTTACTTACTTGACATAGGTCGAGTTTCTGCCCGACTGGATGCGGAAGCGTTGCATTGCATCAACCAATGGTTGCGTGCCACGCCATCGACTGTGCAGTCAGGCATCAGATTGTTATATCATCTGTGGTTAGTTGATATGTTAAATACCTATCGAGGCGCTGTAGTCGGGGAGGAACTCTACCTTGAACTCGTCTGTGCCCTGCCCAGTCCTGTACCTCAGTGGCCGTGTTCAAGAGCAATTATTAGAAAATGGAAGAAGTTCAAGATGACGGTCAATCACCCTCGGTCTGGGGCTCCATGCAAGATCTCACCTCCTGGGGCATCAATGATCATGAGGAAGGTGAGGGATCAGCCCAGAACTACACGGCAGGACCTGGTCAATGACCTGAAGAGAGCTGGGACCACAGTCTCAAAGAAAACCATTAGTAACACACTACGCTGTCATGGATTAAAATCCTGCAGCGCACGCAAGGTCCCTCTGCTCAAGCCAGCGCATGTCCAGGCCCGTCTGAAGTTTGCCAATGATGATCCAGAGGAGGAATGGGAGAAGGTCATGTGGTCTGATGAGACAAAAATATAGCTTTTTGGTCTAAACTCCACTCGCCGTGTTTGGAGGAAGAAGGATGAGTACAACCCCAAGAACACCATCCCAACCGTGAAGCATGGAGGTGGAAACATCATTCTTTGGGGATGCTTTTCTGGAAAGGAGATAGGACGACTGCACTGTATTGAGGGGAGGATGGATGGGGCCATGTATCGCGAGATCTTGGCCAACAACCTCCTTCCCTCAGTAAGAGCATTGAAGATGGGTCGTGGATGGGTCTTCCAGCATGACAACGACCCGAAACACACAGCCAGAGCAACTAAGGAGTGGCTCCGTAAGAAGCATCTCAAGGTCCTGGAGTGGCCTAGCCAGTCTCCAGACCTGAACCCAATAGAAAATCTTTGGAGGGAGCTGAAAGTCCGTATTGCCCAGCGACAGCCCCGAAACCTGAAGGATCTGGAGAAGGTCTGTATGGAGGAGTGGGCCAAAATCCCTGCTGCAGTGTGTGCAAACCTGGTCAAGACCTACAGGAAACGTATGATCTCTGTAATTGCAAACCAAGGTTTCTGTACCAAATATTAAGTTATGCTTTTCTGATGTGTCAAATACTTATGTCATGTAATAAAATTCAAATTAATCACTTAAAAATCATACAATGTGATTTTCTGGATTTTTGTTTTAAATTCCGTCTCTCACAGTTGAAGTGTACCTTTGATAAAAATTACAGACCTCTACATGCTTTGTAAGTAGGAAAACCTGCAAAATCGGCAGTGTATCAAATACTTGTTCTCCCCACTGTACATGTTTTGGAGAGGTGCGGGGAGCTGCCACACTGGGCACCTGCGGAGCTGTTGTGGGGGGTTATGTGCCTTGCTCAAGGGCAGGCAATGGCATCTAGGATCTGATACCACAACCCTCCGGTTGCCAGCTCACTTCCCGCCAGATGTTTTCTATCAGACCCAGGATTCGAACTGGCAACCTCGCCTCTATAACCGCTAGGTTACCTGCCGCCCTATTCATAGGTAAATAGTGACTGACTGACTGATCTGCAAATAGTATTGAGTAGTTATTTATGATGCAAGGTGATTTGTAAATCAGTCAATCTCGACTTTCCTTTAAATTCGGCTTCAATGTCGAACGCGCCCAATGTCATCATCAGTCAAAATTAATCAGGGATTGCCCCCTGCTGTTTATCTATGAGATTACATCAGTGATCAAACCTGTGCTGCAATGTCCCACACACACACACACACACACATCAAACCAAAAAACACATGCTATGTGCCCATTGTGAACTTTCTTTTTGTAGAGATGAGACAGGAACTCAAACTAATACAACTATATTTTCCATATGTAACAGCGAACAACAGACATTGGTCTTCTGCTGTCATTTCTTAACTCCCTCAGATGGCGTACATCACAGACACACAGTTGAGAGGAGCACAGGGTCAGGCCTCAGTTCAGCGCCCCTGGATGGAGAGCATGTTGTGGGTGCCTTGGAGACACCCTACAGCTCTTCAGTGATCACCTTGACGTTCCCTTGGACCTTGAGCTCTATGGTTTCCCAGTCAAAAATGTTCCCTCTGGGCACACGTTTCCCAACATGCAAAGCTTCTATCATGGCATTGGAGAGCACGTAGTCCCACATGTTGACTTCTGTGATCTCGCATAATTTTTTTGCAGAGCTAAAGGTGCTATCTAGAACCAAAAAGGGTTCTTCGGCTGTCCCCATAGGATAACCCTTTGAAGAACCCTTTTTGGTTCCAGGTAGAACTATTTTAAGTTCCATGTAGAACCCTTTCAACAGAGGGTTCTACATGGAACTCTAAAAGGTTATATCTGGAACCAAAAAGGGATCTCATATGGGGACAGCCGAAGAACACTTTTGGAACCCTTTTGGAACCCTTTTTTCTAAAAGTGTAGGGAATAGGGTGACATTTGGGACTATGTCCCAGACAATCATGTCCCCTTATACAGTACTAGTCAAAAGTTTGGACACACCTACTTATTCAACGATTTTTCTTTATTTTTACTATTTTCTACATTGTGGAATAATAGTGAAAACATCAAAACTATGAAATAACACATATGGAATCATGTAGTAACCAACAAAGTGTTAAACATATATTTTATATTTGAGATTCTTCAAAGTAGCCACCCTTTGCCTTAAAGACAGCTTTGCACGGTCTTGGCATTCTCTCAATCAGCTTCATGAGGTAGTCACCTGGAATGCTTTTCCAACAGTCTTGAAGGAGTTCCCACATATGCTGAGTACTTGTTGGCTGCTTTTCCTTCACTCTGCGGTCCAACTCATCCCAAACCATCTAAATTGGGTTGAGGTCAGGTGATTGTGGAGGCCAGGTCATCTGATGCAGCAATCCATCACTCTCCTTCTTGGTCAAATAGCCCTTACACAGCCTGGAGGTGTGTTTTGGGTAATTCTCCAAATGATAGTCCCACTAAGCGCAAACCAGATGGGATGGCGTATCGCTACAGAATGCTGTGGTAGCCATGTTGGTTAAGTGTGCTTTGAATTCTAAATAAATCACTGACAGTGTCACCAGCAAAGCACCCCTACACCATCACACCTCCTCCTCCATGCTTCACAGTGGGAACCACACATGCGGAGATCATCTGTTCACCTACTCTGCGTCTCACAAAAACATGGCAGTTGGAACCAAAACTCTCAAATTTGGACCGGTCGAATGTCCATTGCTCGTGTTTCTTGGCAAGTCTCTTCTTCTTATTGGTGTCCTTTAGTAGTGGTTTATTTGCAGCAACTCGACCACGAAGGCCTGATTCACACAGTCTCCTCTGAAAAGTTGATGTTGAGATGTGTCTGTTACTTGAACTCTGTGAAGCATTTATTTGGGCTGCAATTTCTGAGGTTGGTAACTCTAATGAACTTATCCTCTGCAGTAGAGGTAACTCTGGGTCTTCCTTTCCTGTGGCGGTCCTCATGAGAGCCAGTTGTATCATAGCGCTTGATGGTTTTTGCGACTGCACTTGAAAAACTTTAAAAGTTCTTGAAATCTTCAGGATTGACTGACCTTCATGTCTTAAAATAATGATGGGCTGTCGTTTCTCGTTGCTTATTTGAGCTGTTCTTGCCATAATATGGACTTGGTCTTTTACCAAATAGGGCTATCTTATGTATACCACCCCTACCTTGTCACAACACAACTGATTGGCTCAAACGCATTAAGAAGGAAAGAAATTCCACAACTCTTAAGAAGGCACACCTGTTAATTGAAATGCATTCCAGGTGACTACCTCATGAAGCTGGTTGAGAGAATGCCAAGAGTGTGCAAAGCTGTCATCAAGGCAAAGGGTGGCTACTTTGAAGAATCTCAAATATAAAATATATTTTGATTTGTTTAACACTTTTCTGGTTACTACATGATTCCATATGTGTTATTTCATAGTTACAATGTAGAAAATAGTAAAAATAAGGAAAAACCATTGAATGAGTAGGTCCAAACTTTTGACTGGTACTGTATATCCTAATCATAATCTTTCTGGCGCCATGTGCCTTTTAAAGGGTCGTCATCTAATGCTTAAAGAGAAAAATATGAATCATAATCATAATCTCTAACAGCCCCAAAATAAACCTTAATTAAAGTAGGTCAATATGCTATGTTAGGCTACCAAAGTAAGGAACTGATAACACTCCCTCTAACCCGAAGCCTGAACCCCACGTTATTGTGTTTGTGAGTGTATCCATGTGTGTTGTGAAACTTTGTCAGAGGTTTGTCCAACTAGAAGCAAACAAAACACACCCCACACACAATCACACAAACCCAACTCTCCCTAACTCTCCCTCTCTGTAGCTGGCAGGCCATCCCGTAGAATAGCCTATCCAGCACAGGAGGCTGGTGGAACCTTAATTGGGGAGAACGGGCTCGTGGTAATGATTGGAGCGGAATAAGTGGAATAGTATCAAATCCATCAAACACATGGTTTCCAGGTGTTTGATGCCATTCCATTTGCTCCGTTCCGGCCATTATCATGAGCCGTACTTCCCTCAGCAGCCTCCACTGCTATCCAGTATTTATGTAATAAAACCGACACCGCAAGTGACTACCCACATGAAAAAATACTACCGTTTACTATAGAATACTACAGTACATACTATAGAATTCTGTATGAAAACTGTAGTATACTATACTAGACACTGTAGTATCTCTCGATCATGTATAGTACTTAGTATAGACTTTTGTAGTATACTGTAGAATACTATAGTAAATACTTCAGTATTATCTGCAAAAAAAGACTGCAGCAATGTACACAAAACAACTGCAGTCTGCAAAAACATTACAGTTTTTTAACTTTAGTAACACTACAGTATGTCATTTTTTTATACCCCCCCCCCCCCCCCCCATATTCCAATTTGTGCCACGAAACATACAGGTACAGTATCTGCCAAAATAAAGGAAACAGCTGCCAGAACAGCTTCAATGCACCTTGGCATAGATTCTACAAGTGTCTGGAACTCTATTGGAGTGATGCGACACCATTCTTCCACGAGGAATTCCATCATTTGGTGTTTTGTTGATGGTGGTGGATGCTCATTTGAGACCCCTCTTTCAAAGTCACTGAGATCTCTTCTTCTAGCCATGGTAGTCAAAATAATGGGCAACTGGGCACACACACACACGCACGCACGCACGCACGCACACACACACACACACACACACACACACACACACACCCTTTAAACCCCCTATGCTCCTTTGAGACCCCTCTTTCAAAGTCACTGAGATCTCTTCTTCTAGCCATGATAGTCAAAATAATGGGCAACTGGGCATTTTTATACATGACCCTAAGCATGATGGGATATTAATTGCTTAATTAACTCAAGAACCATACCTGTGTGGAATCACCTGCTTTCAACATACTTTGTATCCCTCATTTACACAAATGTTTCCTTTAATTTGGCAGTTACCTGTACATGTGAAGTATATACATATATTGTATTATCTACAGGTTATAGAAAAGAGCAGAAGCTCAGACTATCCGTTCCCTCCCCAGTCCTACCTACCTACAGGTTATGGAACATTTGCTCTTTAGTATTTGTCCAGTAGGTTTCCTCAAGGAGAAAGCTTCCACTTCTATGTCAAAGATAATAAAACAAAAACACTATAGTAAATACAACAGTAATTTCCACAAAAGCACTACAGTAAATACTACAGTATACTACAGTCTGCAACAACACTATAGTAAATACTACAGTTTACAACCGTTTTTTTATACTGTTTTTAAACTACAGGAAACTGTAAATACTATAGCATACTACAGTCATGTCCTCAAAAAAAATGTCTTCATGTGGGTAGGCTTATCAGCATCACGGGCTCTGCAGCCAAGAACCGCTCAATGCATTTGTTTGCGACAGACACGGGGGGAGAGGGCCGGGGAGGTGTCTATTGGCACGATTCTCACCATTGTAGTCTTTCGCACTTTTTGAATGGTTTGAGACATATTTGACTATCATTATTTACTATTGTTGATCTACAGATGGACTATCCATATAAAGTGTGTCCTAAACATGCACTACTCACCGTAGCCATTTTCCCATGATGATCTGAAGGCACTTCCTGGCTGAGATCTGACCTAGAACCTTCCTGTACCTGTTGGTGAAGATAGCATCAGCATGTCTTCCTGATCTGAGATGAAAAATGTGAGGGAGCACATGACAGATCATTTGATGGATAGAATGTATAGAATTTGAAAGTTCCATTAACCTTATTGTTATTATTCAATTTTTCAGTACTGTATAACAACAAAAGCACTTCTGAGAAGGTTTTAGGTTTTATTTATTCGCATCAAAGAAAACAAGTGAAAGACAAAATAGTACAGATAAAAAACTGGCAAAAACGGTGTGCAGGTGAGGTTGGAAGCCCAAAAGGGCTGATATGAAAACCCCACCACAAATATAATAAGTACAAAAAAAATACTCTTTGTTCAATCATTTTAACAAAGCATATTAATTAAATTGTACACGATATACTCAGTATACATGAAAAGCCATGTTTGATTATGTGCGTGTGTTTGTGTGAGAGTTAGGCTATATGGAGGGGATTATTGGGTAGTTTGGTTCACCAGTCGTCGCTTGAAGTTATTGAGGGATGATGAAGTTTTGGCAATGTGAAGATAAGAATTCCAGAGTATGGTACCACTGTATCTGATAGAGAATTGACTACTTGAGGTGCAGCAGTGGGGAGGGTGAAGGTTATCGCAGTGTCTTGTGTTATATAGATGGTTTTCAGAATTAACCTGGAAGAATCCATTGAAGGGTTTCGGTAAACTGTCTGGGAGGTATGACTATTTGTAGATGAAAGTGCACAATTGGCGTACGTTAATGTCGTAAATAGACAAGATGTTGAGATTCTTATATTAAGGTGCTGATGGATCCAGGTAATTAGAGGAGGTGGCTAGTCTTGCCTATTGATGCTTTTGATGCTTTTGGGTGGCACTGACTTTAGCTCAGCTTGTTGCCTCAGGGGAGTTCTGTTCTCTTCCAGCAGGTGCGTCGGATGCTCTATGGACGAAGTCATCAGGATGGATGTGTCCCTCTGACCAAACCTGGGAAAAAAACACATCACAGAGACACGGTATGATCTTTATTATTTCCTGTAACTGTAGAGGGGAAAACATTGTCGATTTGAAAGCAATGATAAAGGAAATTAGAGAAATTATAAAGATTTAAAAAAAACTCAAGTAGACAGTTTGTTTTACATGCTATGTAAATCAACAACCATATTTTAAATGCCATTATCTCAATGTAGTTAGGTCAAGTAACCATTTTCAGTAGATGTGTTTTTCATTCATATGCATAATAATGATCTGATACTTTGCCCCCGAATGCTGTGATTAATAATGTGTTGTAAAATGTTACACCTTTTAGTGACTAATCCAAACATTTTGACCCTTGTTAGCATAACAAGTAAAAAGGGCACACTATGACAGGCAGACTGACCCCTGAGAGATTTAGTGCATTATGTTCAGAAACAGACTGCTGGCTACAGTGATTCTTTGTTTCTCTCTGGCCTCTCATGGGAGTCCAGTCTGTCAGTTAGGCTGTGTTTACACAGGCAACCCAATTCTGATCTGTTTCTCACTAATTGGTCTTTTGATCAATCACAGAGGATAAGTTCATTAGAGTTACCAGCCTCAGAAATCGGCAATTAACTGCACCTCAGATTGCAGCCCAAATAAATGCTTCACAGAGTTCAAGTAACAGACACATCTCAACATCAACTGTTCAGAGGAGACTGCGTGAATCAGGCCTTCATGGTCGAATTGCTGCAAAGAAACCAGTACTAAAGGACACCAATAATAAGAAGAGACTTGCTTGGGCCAAGAAACACGAGCAATGGACATTAGACCGGTGGACCCTTGGTCTGATTAGTCCAAATGTGCGATTTTTGGTTCCAACCGCCGTGTCTTTGTGAGACGCAGAGTAGGTAAACAGATGATCTCCGCATGTGTGGTTCCCACCGTGAAGTATGGAGGAGGAGGTGTGATGGTGTAGGGGTGCTTTGCTGGTGACACTGTTAGTGATTTAGTTAGAATTCAAGGCACACTAAACCAGCATGGCTACCACAGCATTCTGCAGCGATACACCATCCCATCTGGTTTGCGCTTAGTGGGACTATCATTTGATTTTCAACAGGACAATGACCAAAAACACACCTCCAGACATGGATAACATACAGCTGGCGGGGTTTTCGGTGCATCGGCAAGATAGAACAGCTGCCTCCAGTAAGACAAGTGGTGGCGGTCTGTGTATATTTGTAAATAGCAGCTGGTGCACGAAATCTAATATTAAGGAAGTCTTGAGGTTTTGCTCGCTTGAGGTAGGGTATCTCATGATAATCTGTAGACCACACTATTTACCAAGAGAGTTTTCATCTAGATTTTTCGTAGCTGTCTATTTAACACCACAAACCGATGCTGGCACTAAGACCGCACTCAACGAGCTGTATAAGGCCATAAGCAAACAAGAAAATGCTCATCCAGAGGCGACGCTCCTAGTGGCTGGGGACTTTAAAGCAGAGAAACTTTAATCTGTTTTACCTAATTTCTACCAGCATGTTAAATGTGCAACCAGAGGAAAAAAAAACCTAGACCACCCTTACTCCACACACAGAGACGCGTACAAAGCTCTCCCTCGCCCTCCATTTGGCAAATCTGACCATAATTCTATCCTTCTGATTCCTGCTTACAAGCAAAAACTAAAGCAGGAGGAACTAGTGACTCGCTCAATACAAAAGTGGTCAGATGGCACAGATGCTAAGCAACAGGACTCTTTTGCTAGCACAGACCGGAATATGTTCTGGGATTCTTCCGATGGCATTGAGGAGTACACCACATCAGCCACTGGCTTCATCAATAAGTGCACCGATGACGTCGTCCCCACAGTGACCGTATGTACATACCCCAACCAGAAGCCATGGATTACAGGCAACATCCGCACTGAGCTAAAGGGTAGAGCAGCCGCTTTCAAGGTGTGGGACTCTAACCCGGATGCTTATAAGAAGTCCCGCTATGCCCTTCGACGAACCATCAAACAGGTAAAGCGTCAATACAGGACTCAGATTTAATCGTATTCCACCGGCTCCGACACTCGTCGGATGTGGAAGGGCTTGCAAACTATTACGGACTACAAAGGGAAGCACAACCGCGAGCTGCCCAGTGAAACGAGCCTACCAGACGAGCTAAATTACTTATATGCTCACTTCGAGGCAAGCAACACTGAAGCATGCATCAGCTGTTCCGGACGACTGTGTGATCACGCTCTCCGTAGCTGATGTGAGTAAGACCTTTAAACAAGTCAACATTCACAAGGCCGCAGGGCCAGACGGATTACCAGGACTTGTACTCCGAGCATGCGCTGACCAACTGGCAAGTGTCTTCACTGACATTTTCAACCTGTCCCTGACTGAGTCTGTAATACCAACATGTTTCAAGCAGACTACCATAGTCCCTGTGCCTAAGAACACTAAGGTAACCTGCCTAAATGACTACCGACCTGTAGCACTCACGTCTGTAGCCATGAAAAGCTTTGAAAGGCTGGTCATGGCTCACATCAACACCATTATCCCAGAAAACGTAGACCCACTCCAATTTGCATACCGCCCCAACAGATCCACATATGATGCAGTCTCTATTGCACTCCACACTGCCCTTTCCCACCTGGACAAAAGGAACACCTACGTGAGAATGCTACTCATTGACTACAGCTCAGCATTCAACACCATAGTGCCCTCAAAGCTCATCACTAAGCTAAGGACCCTGGGACTAAACACCTCCCTCTGCAACTGGATCCTGGACTTCCTGACGGGCCACCCCCAGGTGGTAAGGGTAGGTAACAACACATCTGCCCTATAACCTGGACACCCACCTGAGCGACCCATACACCAAAGAGAAGTTCCCATCTCTTTTATGGACCTGCTGTGAATATGCAGCCTAAACAGAGAAATAAATGCGGTCAGAGACCTACTTGAGCAGCACCGCCCCCTCAAGATTCTGAGCCTGCCTGGCAGGGTTGGTCCTACAAAGCCAGAGCCCCCTGATGGGAGAGCATAATATACAAGGAAATTCTCAAAGCTGCTAATGAGAACCTTGACGACCTTTTACCTAGCCGGTGGGGATTCCGGTGGGGTACACCCACCCAGGTAGTGGCAGTGCTGGCAACACTGGCTGCAGTAACCCATGGGGAGGGGGTCACACTCGGACAATCAGAGAGGGGGTTTATCATTGTGGCCCAGGTGGCACAAAATAATTATGGGATGGACCACGGGAATTATTTGCTAGGATAATAATTTCTTGTCAATGAATTAAATGTAATACAATGGCAATCCGGGTTATATGTTAGAATCCTACGCGTGAACTGCCGACATTATTACGCATATTAATTGATAATGATGGAAAATAGGATATGCATAATTTTAAAAAAATAGTTATATAGATATATATATAGAGGTGAAAGCATTGGAAATGCTTTTGGCGGTTAATCTGCTTCTATTTTGTGGGTGGCACTGTGTGCTGTTTTCGATGGATGGGTCCTGGCCTCTCGTGGCCTTAGGGATCCGGAGGGACGTGGGTGGGATGCTGATCACTGGGATGACGGCTCAACTTGGGATGGGGAGGGGCTTTAGCGGGGGAATTAGTGGAGAACAATTGAAGGGTTACTCCGTAGCAATGCAAATATCACGGTACAGCTATATGGACACTCAATCATTACGCTATTTTTTATTGGTAAATTTACAAACATATATAATGATAAATAGACTTGAAACTTGTATCTCATTATGGTGTATGGTGAAATAAGTATAGCCAGTTATAATTGTAATGGCTTAGCTGATAATAACAAAAGAAGAACAATAATTACATGGCTCAAAGAGAAGGAATATAATATCTATTGTATACAGGAAACTCATTCAACAATTCGAGATGAAGTAGAGTGGAAAAAAGAATGGGGGGGGGGGGGGGGAATATACTTCTCCCATGGGCAAAGAAATTCAAAAGGGGTGATGATATTAATTAATAGTAATTTCGATCCGAATGTGCAAATTGTCCAAATAGATACGCAAGGTAGATGGATTATTTTAAATATGTTATTGGACCATAAACAGATATGGGTCATTAACCTTTACGGACCAAATAATGATGATCCACAATTCTTTGACAATATATATAATAAATTATCAAGCCTGCAAGCAACTCAAGACAATATTATTATGGTGGGGGATTATAATACTGTTTTAAATAGCTCAATGGACCGTAAAGGAAATCACACCACAAACAATCACCCACATGCTCTTAAGGAAATTGTGAATGTCATGGATACATTAGAACTAGTAGATACAGTGAGGAGAACAAGTATTTGATACACTGCCGATTTTGCAGGTTTTCTTACTTACAAAGCATGTAGAGGTCTGTAATTTGTATCATAGGTACACTTCAACTGTGAGAGACGGAATCTAAAACAAAAATCCAGAAAATCACATTGTATGATTTTTAATTAATTAATTTGCATTTTATTGCATGACATAAGTATTTGATACATCAGAAAAGCAGAACTTAATATTTGGTACAGAAACCTTTGTTTGCAATTACAGAGATCATACGTTTCCTGTAGGTCTTGACCAGGTTTGCACACACTGCAGCAGGGATTTTGGCCCACTCCTCCATACAGACCTTCTCCAGATCCTTCAGGTTTCGGGGCTGTCGCTGGGCAATATGGACTTTCAGCTCCCTCCAAAGATGTTCTATTGGGTTCAGGTCTGGAGACTGGCTAGGCCACTCCAGGACCTTGAGATGCTTCTTACGGAGCCACTCCTTAGTTGCCCTGGCTGTGTGTTTCGGGTCGTTGTCATGCTGGAAGGCCCAGCCACGACCCATCTTCAATGCTCTTACTGAGGGAAGGAGGTTGTTGGCCAAGATCTCACGATACATGGCCCCATCCATCCTCCCATCAATGCGGTGCAGTCGTCCTGTCCCCTTTGCAGAAAAGCATCCCCAAAGAATGATGTTTCCACCTCCATGTTTCACAGTTGGGATGATGTTCTTGGGGTTGT